CCCCTACACATACCCCCCCCCCCGGGAGGGAATGTTCCAGATGTTTTACAGGGTTCTTTTATTACCTCAGAAATATTAAGCAGGAGGAAGAGAGGAAAAGATTCTTTATTAACTTATTTTTTGCTTAATTAAAGAGCTGAACAATGAAGGGGAAGTCACAGATTTACTCTTTGTGAAAGATTAATAAGCAATATTTTCAGAGAGCATGTATAAAAATAATACTAATGAAAAGAAAACATTCTTATGGAGTCACTTAAGGCTAAATAATCACAACTGTGACAAAATTAAGCTAGGTAGGGATTAAACCTTGCTTAAATACATAATTTTGCTGTAAATTGTTTGGGGTCCTATATATCTAGGACCTATATTATATATCATTACATATATGATGCCTTCATATCAGCAAAAAGTATCTTATTAAAAGCTCTTTTGAGAAAGAACGATATAGAAATGCTTTGATGGCTGTAAAATAGAAATATTTCCTATCAGTGCTCTGAAAAGAGGGAGAGGGTTGTGTTTAAACAAAAATTATTACTTTGTTTTCCTAATATATTATAGAAGGACCGTAGGAGAACGCAGTACTGGAAAGGAAGCATTTAAAATATAGTTCAGAGAGATGCTGTTATATCCTTTCCACTTCTGAAATGTTTCTTCTACCTTTGAATTATGTCTTTAAGAATCAATTGCTTAAGTCACATGGCTGCTTTTATCTCTGGCTTTGAAGCATGGCCGTGATCATTGAAAGACACGATTCTTTACATCTGAGAAGAGCAGGGTTTAATTATTGTCCTTTTCCTGTTATACTTTTTTATTTTCCCTTCTACGTGTTACCAGGCTTCTTTTGTGAGTGTGTATCAGGAAATGGTCTCTATTTTGGATTCACCAAAGCACCACGTAGGAATTATCTCAGGAATTTTTGAATCTGATATTTAAGATTTGATGATTTATTTTAATCCGACTGAACTTCCTTGTACTTTTCAAAAATGAATTAAGACATAATTATTCTGTTAGGATTTGAGTCTTTAGGAGAAAGACAGATTAAATGGCTTTTCAGTTACTACAGCACGAAACAGGGGTGGTCATGATACATGTTTGACTTTCACATCATTGAATTTTAATACTTAGGTTTTTGGGGGGCAATTTATTTTTTGCATTTAATTAATGAATT